CTTTACATAATCACCATTATGTGAATAATATCCTTTAAAAATTTTATAAATGAAACTATGATAGTTTTATTTTCATTTTCAATTTTACTTCAGAGCCACACGTACGTACCCAAAGAGCAGCATGTGGCTCGCAAGCCACAGTTGCCGACCCTTGGTCTGGTGGATTGTCTCTGCAACCGACCCCGTAAAACAAGAGGATGGGGTGATAAAAGACTTGCATGGCATCAAAACCCCCAGATTCAAGTCCTGACCAGCTAATTACTTGCCATGGACATGTTGCCTAAATTCTCTGAGTATCAATTTCCTCATTAGCAAAGCAAATAATGTCTGTTATCTCGACATCAAAAAACAGAACAAAACAAAAAAACCTCAAGATACATTAAATAAATTTATATAGATAAAAATATGTGAAACTTCTTCGTGAACTCTTAAATCCTACCAGTTGTGTGATAGGGAAACTGCACAAGGACAACGTGTTAGGAAGGAGAAGGCAGGCTTGGCCTCCTGTGGTTCTGACAATAGAGACAATTTCCTTAACCTAACCTACAGGCCCTGCAGGACCTGGCTTCTTCCTAACTCATCAGCTTTGCTTTATACATTTTTCTCTTCCTATCTGGAACTGCTATCCATCCTTTGCTTTTAGCCAGTTATTGCTTCCTTAGGGTACCTGTCCATGACTCCCCAACAAGGCTAAATTCCTCCTATTGAGTAATCTTACAGAACCATGTACCTTTTCAAATTTGTAAAGTTTGTCATGGTTACAATTTCCATTTATTTAAAGGACAGGGATCAATTTTGTCTTGCCATTTTATTCCTGGTTCCTAGCACAGTGCCTGGCACATGGAAGTGCTCGATAAGTATTTGTTAAGGGAGTGAATAAACGATCAGATGGATGAATGATGAACAGGTCCATCTTGTAGACCCTGTGGGATCCAAGGATAACTCTTGGATATTTGAACCTCACCTCTGATTGAAACTTGGTCCGAAGAGCTTGGAAACTTTTTTGAGAAGGGGTAGTTGATAAAATGAGCGTTGGAACCAGAGAAGGCCAGAATACAACTTTGATGAAAACTGCCCTTTTATACTCAGAAATGTATTTACGTGTCCCTTGGATTTGTGTATGCCAAGTGGATACACACAGAAGGACATACATGAAAGGGAAAGGAGCTTCTGGAGAAACCGTGACTCCTGGAGAGCCCTACTCTGAGCAAGAAGGTAGACTTGCTGAAGATGAAGTTGCATCTGGACAGGCTTGTTTTCACAGGGGAAAAAAAAAAGTCATTTTTCTAAGGAGGGAATTGACTTGGGCTATGCTGGCAAACTTGTTTATTCTTGTGTTGGGGGTGTGTGTGTGTGGTGTGTGTGTGTGTGTGTGTGTGTTTTCTTGCTTGAGCAAGGGCTATCTCAAGATGCCAGGGCTATGTCAGGGTTATTTTACCATGAAGCACAAGGCGTCTGAGAAGTAGCACAGCCTCAGCGCTGAGCTGGCAAAGCACAGCACCCCTGTGAGGAGGGAGGGGTCTCAGTCCCGCGAGCAATCCGGCAGGCCTCCGAACTGGGCGGAGTCTCCTATTTGGGGACATTGGGAGCTATCACCCTTTGTTGTTCTCCCCCTTCGTTGTGGGATTGTCAACGGGATTGATGGTGGCCGTTTTTCATCCAATTAAGGGAGTGGGGACAGATGGTAGTGAGGACAGGGTGGCTAGCGCAGGGTAGTGTCTGCTGACAGACAGGTTTATGAGCAAGCATGAAGCTCCTCCTTGGTGCAGGTGGGGCAAGCAAAGGAACTTGGGTCATTGTTGTGAAAGGCACTTCATTTGTAGCCACAGCCTGATTAGGTCTGCTGACATCTGGGTTAAAGGTAAGGGACTTATAACATGATTTTGCATATGGTAAAAGACATTTCTGAGGAGCTTGTAATTCTCTCCACATGCATGCTCACATTGGCAGTTCTTGGACACAGCCACCAAGTTCTGAGGTTACCAACTGGGTCCTGGTTTGCCCTGGGACTTTCCCAGTTTTCACACTAAAAGGGCAAACCAGGATGGTTGATCACCTTATCACTCTCTCTATTTCTTACCTTCACTCCGGGGAGACAGAGCAGACCACTCATAGCCTTATAACATAGCAGACACAAGAATACGTCTTCCCTTTGGGATAGTAAGAATCTACAAGACAGCGAAGATATATTGTGAAGCTCCCTTTTAAAGTGTGTACTTGAGGCTGAAAACGGATGCATTGAAGGTTGCTATCCTAAGGTGCTATTCTAGGCCAATAATTCATTTTCATTTGCCAAGGCATATTCATCAGTTTTTCTATCTATACATACAGTGACTATTCACACTAGATTTTCTATGATGAATGTAATTTTATAATATATTTCCTCAGTAATAAAAGAATAAAGTATACAATTAATGTTATGAATTTAAAAGCATTTTAAGAGTGATGAAGGGTAAGGAAGAGAAAGGATTCTACTAGCATCCCTTTATTCCAGAGGTTGCTTGGCAGAAGCTAGTCCTAGATGGCCAGGTTCCTAGGTCTTGGTAGTAGATGAAAGGAGCCATCAGAGTCTTCTGCTGGAGCCCGGGATGGTGGGACTGTAGGACCAGCCATCTGGGGAGAGGGCACACCTTCCTTTTCCAGGCAGGCCGTGAAGATGAGGAGTAACCCACTGAGGGCCAGGCAAGTACCAGCCGCCCAGCCCAAGTAAAGGGCATCTCCAAACTCCCACCGAGGCACAATCTCAGGGATGCTGTCATCCCAGAAGTCTTGGATTGTGGTGTAGGCCACCCAGGAGACTGGAAAGAGGGTAGTGACTGAAGCTGATGCCTCCAAAGTCCCTCCCAGGATGCAAAGCTGACTCTTAAATACCCATCTGATCCTGTGAAACTGGTAGCATTCAGACCCAAAGCCAGAGAGCAGAAGCCCCAAAAATCCCAGCCCATGGGAGGCCACCATGAGGATACGGGATATCTGGAGCTCCTGGGGCAGAGATAAGGAGGACTCAAAGGCCTTGCACACAGTGGCAACTTCCTCCTGATTCACGCAGACCTCCCAAAGGCCCATGATCCAGGTCTCCATTTTGTTCAGTTCCAGATTGAGAGTCTTCCACTGAGGCAGGGCAGTGGTGACACATGAGCAGACCCAGCCAAGGAAAGAGAGGAGCAGAGCCCCGAGCTGAGTTTTCCCACGGAAACTCCAGGCCATGGTTGCTCCCACTACAGAGGCTGAAAGAAAAGGAGGACAAGTGACTCAGTGATTGGTTAGCGGGGAGTACTTTGGGGGTTGTTGAGTAGAAGGCCTTTCACATTTGGAGAGGGTTCCTGTTTCAGTTTTCTAGGCAGCAGCTGAGGCAGGTGCCAGGAACTTGGCAATGTTTGGGTTACAGGGAGTGCCCAAGATCAGATGTCGGTGTGGATTCCGGGGGAGGGTCCCATGAGAGGCAAAAAAGCCAGAACAGTAAGCCATTAATACGTATTTGATGAATAAATTCATGAACTTAAAGTTAAAATCATTCCTAGTTCCGAGATGACAAGAATGATGTTCTGGGAATATACATTGATGTCATCTCTCTGGAGGGCAACATGAATGACTTCATGGTTCATACTTTCATATATACGCGTACCCTACCTCCAGGAACTTATCCTAATTTATTGTGAATATATGCAAAGATTTATGAAAGTGTCCATTCAAATATTGTTCCTAATTGTACATTTTGGTTAATACTAGGCAGCCATTTTAAAGTGATACAGAAGACATTTTAATGACATGAAAAATGTTTTTGATGTGTTAAGTGAGAAAAGCAGTTGACCAAAAAGTATATTGAGTATATAGAATACAACTTCACTTTCCTAAACAGTGCATATATGTATATGTACATATATATGTATGTGTATAGCTATACATATATACCACAAAATATTACCCACGGTTATTTTAGTCAAAGAATTATGATATTTTTTTATTTCCTTATTTGTGCTTGTTTATATATAGAGGGTGCCAAAAAAAAGTTATCTTAAGATGTGTATACATTTTGTGGCACTCTCAGTATCTTATAAATTTTATAAATGTATCATTTAGTATTTTTGTAAGCAGAATAAAAAGGAAAATTCCCCAATGCAAGGAACCCATCCCGACCCAGATTATACCTGGAGGGAAGGGCTCTGTCTCCAGTCTCCTGCTGCTGCTAGGACAGCAACCATAAACAAATGGTAGTCATACCTGCTTCCATCCTTATTTGTTGCTGCTGCTGAGTGGCAGGTTCTGACAGGAAATGAAATAATTAGCGTTTACTGAGTGCAGCTAAACGCCAGACTTTGGTTAGATACTTTATCCTCACGTAATTTCACACCACCGCTGTGACATACATGTTAGGTAACTTGCCCAAGTCCCCTACCTGGTAAGCAACAGATCCAACCCCTGAACCAGGCGACTTGGACTGTGACATTTCATGTTCTTGCCTCCAGGCTACAAAGGTGACTCCTCCTGCACTGAGCCTGCACACTGGCGGCACAGCATGGAGGTAAGGGTTAATCTTTATGGCAAAACCCGGAAGAAAACTGGGATTTATTATATTGAGGACATAAACGTTGACCAATGTATTCCCCTATTCATATTTTAACCTGCTGACTACCCTGTGGTACACTAGGAAATGAAAGCAGACGTGGGACAGTCAGGAAGGAGAAAGCAGTATCCTGACTATTTGAACGATATCTTGACACCCAAGCAGCCTGATTAGATTATTGGTGGTGTGGGGGTGGAGGGAGGCAAGCAGGATCATCAGGAATGCTCTTTTGTTCCCTTTTCTTTTATTATAGGCAAATTTCAAACATATACAAAAGTAGAGCAAATGGTATAAAGAAATCTCGTGTCCTATCACCCAGCTTCAAAAATTATCTGCTCGGACCAATCTTTTTTCCCCCATACCTGCGCCCACTCCGTGTCCCTCCCTTCATATTTTGAAGCAAAGGGGATGCTCTTTCAAGTTGCAGGCTCCTTTTGCTGCTCTTATAACAACCACATGTTTTATCAATACGATGGCAAAATATTATACATTCCTGGAAACGCTGTCTGCTTGTACAGTATCCATCCAGATTTGTGTTTGATACTTTTTTTCTAAAAATAGGCATGCCACATATGTGTGAGCGAGGCATGATGGGTCAGGAGGAATCCTTTCCAACAATGCTCCTCATCTCCTTGCCTTTCTTCAGAGCCCTTTTTTGATGATTTGTAAAAATTTGTGAATATGGAGACATATAAACCCTGATAAGTATGAACTATGAAGGAGGTCAGGTTAGTGAGGGGAAGTGGAACCTATTCATTTACGAGGTCAATTAAGTTCGTGAACTCGTCCTAGAAAAAGTGCTACATACCTCGTTGCCGAATATCACTGCGGTCACCTTCGAAGTACTCTCCTTGGGAAGCTATGCACTGATGCCTAGTACACACTTCAAAGTAATTTTGGAACTCTTTTTCTGGAATGGTCATCAGAGCTGTCGTTGTATTCCCCTTGATGTCCTGCATGTCATCAAAATGTCTTCCTTTCAATATTTCCTTTGTCTTCGGGTAAAGAAAGGAGTCATTGGGGCCCAGATCAGGTGAGTAGGGAGGGTGTTCCAATACAGTTATTTGTTTACTGGCTAAAAACTCCCTCACACAGTGTTGGGTGAGCTGGTGCATTGTCATGATGCAAGAGCCATGAATTGTTGTCGAAAAGTTCAGGTCGTCTAACTTTTTCACACAGCCTTTTCAGCACTTGGTTAACTGTTTGTCCAGTTGGTACAAATTCATAATGAGTAATCCCTCTGATATAAAAAAAAGGTTAGAAACAGCAGTGCAACAAGTTCGTGAACTTAATTGTCAGATCTCATATTAATTTCTTTTTATTTATTTAAGTATTCATTCATGCCTGCATGCATCGATGGCCTATGTATAGCGATCCCACTCCATTCCTGATGCTCTTTCTTCTCCTTCCTCAGCCTATCTCTGGCTCTTCCCTATCTTTTCCTGGAACCTTGAGGAAGAGTCTTTAGCTTATCCTTGTGGCCTCTCTACCTAGGGAGAGGCGGAGCTTCTGTAGTTGTGTTTGTGGGCATATATAGATCCCAAAACCTCAATCTCAAAGTAGCACCTCCTTCCAGTCTCAGTTCAGATTTCTTCTATTGTGAAACCTCCCTGATTCAGTCAGAGACTGGGTGCGCCTCCTCCTCTGCCCTTTGTACATTCCTCAGAGGTGGATTAAGCTTCAGGGTCTGTTAGTTGCACAGGTCCCTTCCAAGGCCTATACCTAATTTTGTATTTGTTATTATATATTCTTTTCCTTAAAGAGTCCTCCTCATCCCAGCAACTGTATAAGATTTAGTTCCCACAAAATCTGGATCCGTCTCTCATTTGCCTCCAAAATAGTAATGATCATATTTTCCCCGGATTATTTATTCACATATTTCTGGATTCCCAGCCTAACACAGTATCTGTCGTATAGTAGTTGTTCAATAAATACATAATACAGGAATTTTGTCTGGAGGTTCTTCTTTCTTGCTGGGCATTTAGTAGTAGTAGCATTTAGAGTTCAAAGTGAGGCTGACAGTTCTACCAAACAGAAGTTGACTTGGTTTTCTAGGGAGAGGAGCTTTCTAGATTGTTATGGCTATCCTTTGTGCTTTCTGTCTCAACCCAGTTTAATTTCCTTTGCTCATGTCATAGGAAGCTGCCCTTGCCTTACTAGGATGAGCAGATTGTTCCACAGACACTTAAAATTGACAAAGACCTTAGGGTCAGTATCTACGTGGGGTTAACCCTCACAAAATACCTTTTTAAAAAATTAAAGAGGGTGGTCTAGTGGTTCAGTTGGTTAGACCATGAGCTCTGAGTAACAGGATTGCCGGTTCAATTCCCACATGGGCCAGTGAGTAACTAGATTGAAGACAATGACATGAGCTGAGCTGTCGCCAAGCTGCCAGTGGGCTGCCGGATGTCTCAGTTGGTTAGAGTGTGTTCTTTTGATAACAAAGTTCCCGGTTTGACTCCTGCATGGGATGGTGAGCTGCACTCCCCCCCCCCCCCCCCACTGCAACTAGATTGAAAAATGGCGACTGGGCTTGGAGCTGAGCTTGTGCCCTCCACAACTAAGACTGAAGGACAACAACTTGACTAAGAGCTGATGGGTCCTGGGAAAGACGCACTGCTCCCCAGTAAAATTAAAAAAAAATTAAAGATAACATTTTAATTAAAGCGGTGCATGTTTATTGCAGAAAAATAATAAAAAACAGGGAAAGAGAATAAATACCATAAGTCCAGCAATCACAGAGATAATTTGGTGTGCATTCTTTTTTTTTTTTTAAAGGTTTTATTGGGGAATTGGAGAACCAGAACAGTGTTGGGGAATTGGGGAGGGGGAACAGACAAGTTATTGCTCTCACCAGCTAAGCCATCCTGCCCCCTGTTGGCAGCTCAGCAGCAGCTCAGCTTGGGCGCAGCTCACTGGCCCATGTGGGAATCGAACCAGAGACTCTGTTATTCAGAGCTCTTGCTCTTAACCAACTGAGCCACTTGGCCGGCCCTTGGTGTACATTCTTTACCTGTATATATGTATCTATATCTCTTCATTGTTTTTTTAAAAAAGAATCATACTGTGTATTGTGACATCTTTCAGTGTGTAACATTTAAATAATGAAACAATTTAAAAAAGCTTTTGATAAAAATTGATTTATAGTTTCTGATAGGAAGTGCTGAATACATTGTTCTACTTCACACAGTATTAATGTTATTTATACCTGGGTAATATAAATATGTAATATATTACATAGATGTAATATATGTATATTTATATTACAAAGATGTAGTATATGTGTATGTAATATATGCACATAGATGTAATATAAACTATGCATTACAAACGGAGTACAATTATAGACAGACTTTTATTTATAATGAGGTGACGCACTTCGTTGCACAACTCCAGAGGGCACCATTCATTTAGACCCTGATGGCCAATGCGGCCCAGGAGAGTGAATATTTAACGAAAAAAGATCAAGATGGGCTCGTCGGATCTTCTGGCTAGAGACATTTCACAGGTAAGCGTTTTGAAATTAAGAAAGGTTCAGTTAGGATTGTTTATTAGGTTAAAACATTTCATTTATTCTAGTGAAAAACGTGCAGAAAGAGACACGGTATTTGAAAACAGCTAAAAAACGAAAACGCGTCTACCCAGTTTGCCAACTACGAGACGCCGTGGAACTTCCACGATAGGAGAGTCGCGGTGCCTGCTGGGAGTTGTAGTGCAGTCGTCTCCTTCCGTGCGGCGGTCTCGGCCTTGCGAGACTTTGTTTCCCGGCAGGCCGCGCGCCAAGGCTGCCGGCGGGACTGGAGCTGCTACGCTGGCTATTGAAGAGTGAGTGACCCTGTGAGCGTTGGAACCTGTGGTGGCGATGGCCTCGTTCGTGACGAAAGTTCTGGCACCCTCGGGGAGTCTGGAGAAGGAGGACTTGGGCGCTCAGATCAGCCACCTTACCTGGCGGGTGGAGGAGATCAAGGTACAGGCAGTGCAGCCGTTGGCTGACTTAAAAAGGGACGCAGGATCATTGTACTACGGGACGGAGAAGAGTGAGGGATGGCGGCACACAGAGTGGAGAAGAGCAGAGTCGCGTGTGGGGCTGGGCGGGAAGAATTAGGGGTGGGAAGGCTGTGGGTTGAGGAGGGAGTTTGTAGGGGAGCCCAGACAGGGGTTGGGGACCGAGGAGGCGAGGAGGCCTGGGACGGTGGGAAGGAAGAGGCGGTGGCTGGGGGGGATGTTGGGAAGTGGGGTTAGGTTTGGGAGGGATGGAGGAAGGGAACCCGGAGGAATACCAAGTAGAGATCGCAGAGCCGGGAGGTGGGACTGGGAGCGCCGAGGTATCTAGGGAGGGAGCATATACCAGAGGGACCGAAACGAGGACGGGACTCCTCGCCGTCTGTGAGTGTTTATTTCCTCCACCCACGCCTCTTTGTACGGCTTGTTGATGAATGTAATAGCTTTGGGAGGATTGTACCACTCTCCTTCCTGAAATTTTTGTTGTTAAAATCAATGAGTCTGTTTACCAAACTCTCTTCTCCATCCCCAGGCCCTTGAAGGGGGTGGAGAGTTACAAAACGTGTGAATGGCTCTTCTGTGGACCCTGCTGTCCTGAGATCGATGCAGAAACTAATGGCACATAGCCACACGCAGTCTCACTTTGTACTGCTTTTTGTTTACCTCGCCGGTATTTGCCCCCATCTTTGTTGTTGCTTTCATTTAAAGTTATGTGTACTGCATACCTCTGGATGTAAAGTTTGGCATTGTACCATAAAGGCACAAAAAGGGTGTTCTTTTACGAAAAACGGTTTCTTAAATTTTAAGTATTTTTGTCATTGACATTGCTTATTTAATATGGCTTCAGAATTTTCCACCACTTTTTGTATAATCGAAAGAGGACAATTAAGCCACATTAGCATGGCTCCTACATGTTCTGCACCTAACTTATCCTTTGTTTCACTAGTTTCTTTTCCCAACTTGAATCTTCAGCCAATTGAAATTTACTTTTTATATTCCAAGCAGGCTCACTTTTTTTTTAGTTTCCAGATTTTGCTTATATTGTCATTTTCCCATCTTTTACTGTAGTATTTTTACCCATCTTTTCAAGTTCAATATCAAATGTAGTTTCTGCATGAAAGCTATCCTCATTTTTCTCTCAGGCATAAGTGATTTCTTTCTCAGTTGTGCTCCTGGAGGACGTTAACTGTGTTGCTGTATTACATTTCTGTATTCTCGTTACTTAAGTGTGTGTACTATCTTTCCTATCGAGAAGGAATCTATATGTGGGCAAGCATAATTTTTGTGTCTTCTAAAGCATTGACTAATTCAATGCAAACTATTCAATAATTTGTTTATTGAATTATTTTGAATTAAAAGATGATGAAACTCATCAATTTAGGGTTATAATATTAGGCCTTAAAATTGTATAATCAAGAAGCTAGAAATCCAAAAATTGATTGAGGTATACAGATTATGGATTTAAGGTATCTATTTGCTTTCTTTTCTGTTAGATGTATGATTCAAATTGGTGCTGTAGTCTGAGCTGATATATCAATCAATATGAGAACTTCTGGCTCTGCCTTCCTCTTTTTCAGCTTTTGTACCATTTCTGGGCACTTGGGATTTGGTGATCATTGTCTTCTTGCACCCTAATAGTGTTATGGGACCTTTAATGGTGGGAGAAATGTGTTTTTCAAGGAAACCCATTGGCTTGGAGGGAAACTGAATGGGTGTGGGTAACTGGCAATATAGCTCCAACATGGAAAATGTCTAATGGAAGGCGAATTGTATATTTTTAACAGAGTTTTCCACTCATCTCATTGTAATTTTTCTTTCTTACCTTATAGGGTGAGGTGTGCAGTATGATAAGCAAGAAATACAGTGAATTCCTGCCTAGCATGCAAAATACACAGGACCTGGTTACCCAAGTGGATAAGCTATCTCATGACATTGACCAGCTGAAATCCACGATAGAGAGTGAGGTAAGAATAGTTTGTTATATTGGGTGGTTTGTAAGGAAGCAGTTCAGCTTCCTGATTACTAAGACATTTCAGTTCTGTTCAACTTTTTAAGGCCTCACTTTTTCTTTGGTAAATGGAAGTTGAATTAGATGATTTTAGTGTGACTTCCAACTTTAAAATAGACATATTTTCCAAAAATATAATTTAAACTATTCTTTTTTATGGTAAAAAATTTTTTTAGCTATAATGAAATCTTGAATTTGAGTAGCAGTTTATAAATTTTTAAAAAATAACCTCAGGATTTTATTGTCTTCATAATAAAATAAAGCAGATGAAGTTTAGAACTGGATCATTTGGGCTTTTCTTTTGTCACCTTTTAGTTTAAAATCTTTGTATTTGTTAATGGACAGCATTCTCTTATATCTGCAGCTGGCCTCAGTACATTCAAGCTTTAGCACCATCTTTTCTTTTTGCCTTCTTCTGGAAAATTGTCTCAGTTTGCCAATCACAGCCACTCTACTTCCTGTCATAAAGTCAATTTTCCTTGGACACACAGAGAATCCGGGCCCATCTTGTACTGTGTCGCTCTGTGGGGCTAGTGCTTGCTATACTTCTTATGGAAGGTCTGGCAGGTTTCAAAAATGTTTACTATGTTTGCTGGAGTGCTGTCATCACAATAAGAAATAAGCCAGTCTGGAAACAAATATCTGCTTTATAATTTTAAAACATTTTTCACATATATTTATCTCACCAAGATTTTTCACTTCCAGTTTCCTTTTAGGAAAAATAGACAGTTGAAAGAAATCAAGTTGATATTAGACGTTTAAACAAAGTTTAATCTTAGATTTCTTCTACATCTATTTCTAAATTATTACTCAGGGCTCACTGATATTCAAAATCAAGATGTTGAGGTTTTCTCAAGGTCCTTAAGGAAAGACACTAAATCTCTTCTCTTTGTGATAGTTACTAAAGAAGGAAAGTGAACAAAATGTGTTTTCAAAACTTTTCTACAAAACTTGAATCACAAGGGGGGAAATCACTAGTTTACCTAGAAAATCTATTTAACAGCCAATTTACCAATGATTCTGATTAGAGGTTTCAGTAAAAATAAATCTGTTACTCCACAACTCTGGCACAGTTCAAATAATATTTTCAGTGTGTATATGTATGATCAGTGAGTCAACAGTGCAATCTTAAACTGTATTATTAGAAATGAAGTGTCTGGAACAAGAAAATAATGGGCTCTGTATCTTTTGCTGGCCAGATTATGGCTGGCAAAATTTATTCACTTTTGGTTGTTGTATTTTGAAAGATGGCTGGTCTAGTTGAGAAGGTCCAGACCTGAATACTATACCATCTGAAGAACAATGAAAGAAACTGAGGGTGTTTAGCCTTAGTAGGAAACACTTTCAAAATTTGAAGCCCTATCATATTAGAGAAATTCAAATTTATTGCTAGAGAATAGGAATTAGATTCACTAGGTGGATATTATAAAGGGGCTTATTCAGTCATTTGGTATATTTATTGAACATCTGCAAGTTGCCAGACACTGTGAAAGTTGCAGAACTAGACAGTTTTAATTTCAAAATGTGAATCTCATGCCTGCTATGAATGTGTAAAATAGTGTGATACATACTAAATAGGAATAATCCCAGTTAAAGAGAGGAGATGTAGCTAAGCATGGCTTCCTGGAGAAATAGTTTCCAAACCAAAACCTGAAGTGATAGGTAATTAGGCAAAAGAAGAAGGAAGAGCGTTTTAGGAGGGCATAGGAAACAGCATTGCAGAGGCATGGAGGTAATGGAGAGATGACACTTCGGGAGAGTTGCAAGTATTCCATGTTACTGTGTTTAGAGAATGTGGTGGGAAGGGACATGAGATAAGATTGGAAAGGTAAGTAAGGACCTTCTATATCAGTTTAAGTAATATGGATGTTGTCTTGATGGTACTGTAGAAGCCATGGAGGATTTTAAATAAGAGAGTGACATCAGATTTGAATTTTAGGAATCCCACTTTACTTGCAGTTTGAAGCAAGGACATGAGGAAATGAAAGGCAATTAAAGCACCAAGAAGCAGAAATAATCAGACAAGATGGGCCGGTGACCTGCTGTAAAGTCAGTGGCAATGGGGATGGAGAAAAGTGGATGAATCCTAGTGACATTTAAGAGATAGGATCTTTGGGACTTGATGCAGGGAATCAAGGATAATTGGGACTTCGTCATTGATGTGCCATTCATTGAAGTAGAGAACCTAGAGGAGAAGGAGTAGGTTTTTGTAGGGGAAATGATTTTAAATATGGGCTGCCTAAGGGATATCCAAATGGAGCTGCACAGTTGGATTGTATTAAGATGAGGCTAGACTGTTGTAAAGAAAATGGAGGGTGGAGAGAAAGGTTGATATTGAGAGATAGGGAATGAGTAAACTTGAAATGCAGTGGTTCAGGCAAAATACATATTTTGTAATTGTATTATAGTCTAGGCTAGCAGGCTGATTCTACAACCTAGGGCCTACTACTCTAGTATAGTCTGTGTCAAGTACTGTGAAGGGGATCTGAGATTTTTAACCTACTTTGAAGTCAGCAGATTAACCTGCCACAGTTTCATGATTCTATTAGAAGACAGGAAAGAAACTCTGTGGGTGAGAGATGGACAGTTTATTATTCACAGCAGTAGCCAGAGTATGAGAATTTTTGTACAGTGCCTTGAGCCCCAATTCTTAAAGGGCAGTGTGTAGTGGATTGCATTATAGAAGAGAACTCCTGAGTTTAGGGAACCTGAATCTCTTACAATGAGTAGCAAGGGTATCTGCTTTTTGCCTTGCAGCGGTTCTCAACCTGTGGGTCGCGACCCCTTTGGGGATCGAACGACCCTTTCACAGGGGTCGCCTAAGACCATGGGAAACAAAAAGATATTTACATTACGATTCATAACTAGCAAAATTACAGTTATAGAGTAGCAATGAAAATAATTTTATGGTTGGGGGTCACCACAACATGAGGAACCGTATTAAGGGGTCGTGGCATTAGGAAGGTTGAGAACTGCTGCCTTAGAGGGAAATACTATCTCTGTTTTCCATGCTGTTTACTACTACACAAACGTTCTTGAAAAGATAATTCAGAACTGAAGACAGCTAATGTTTCACTTGCAAGGCAGTGCAGAAATGTGAGGAACCCCTAAAGAATTAATAGTTTGTAGAGCAGCGCAATTGGCAACACCTGGTGGCTTATTATAACTGGAGGCTCTCAGGCTCCATCCCAGACCTACTGAATAAGAATCTGCATTTTAATAAGATTTGCTGAGTGTTACGTACGTTACAGTTTGAGAAGCACTGCTCTAGGATTTTGTTGTTTGCGTGGTTGAAGTTGATCTCTTCCGATGTCCAGATTATAGCTGGAGGTTAAGGGCAAAGAGAGGGCACAGAAGAGACACATCTGTTTTCTTTCTATTTTTTTTTTTAAATTAAAGTTTATTGGGGTGACAATTGTTAGTAAAGTTACATAGGTTTCAGGTGTACAATTTTGTAATACATCATCTGTATATCACATTGTGTGTTTACCACCCAGAGTCAGTTCTCCTTCCATCACCATATATTTGACCCCCTTTACCTTCATCTACCACCCTCCTCTCCACTTACCCTCTGGTAACCACTAAACTATTGTCTGTGTCTATGGGTTTTTGTTTCTTTGTTTGTCTTGTTCCTTTGTTGCTTTCAGTTTTATATCCCACATATCAGTGAAATCATATGGTTCTCGACTTTTTCTATCTTACTTATTTTGCTTAGCATAACAATCTCAAGTTCCATCCATGTTATCACAAATGGCACCATTTCATCTTATGCACATCTATTTTCTTAGGACTCAGACTTGGAAATGGTGCACGTCACTTCTTATTTTTCATTGGTGAGATCTTAGACACATGGTCACATCTAATTGTGAAGGATGCTAGAACGTAGTCTATCTAGTTGGGTAGCCATGTGCTATTACTCTGGGAAAGTGAGAGAATGGATTTTAATGAAGAGTTTGCACATCAGCCCATCTATATACATATTTGGAGGTTAGGAAAATGATGTGGACTTAAGATAGCAGCACTTAGAAATTGAAGCCGCAGGAATGGATGAGGTTGCCAGAGAGAGTTGAGAGCAGAGTTTCCCAACCTAGGCACTGTTGATATTTGGAGCTGGATAATTCTTTATCATGGGGGCTGTCCTGTACATTGTAAGATGTTCAGCAGTATCCCTGACCTCTACTCACTTGGTGCCAGAACTCCTTCAGTTGGGACAAGCCAAAATGTCTCCAGTCATTGCCAAATGTCCCTGGATGGTTGTGGGGCAAAATTTATTTTTTGAAAACCACTGGTTCAGAGTAAGAAGAAGTCCAGGGAGAAAGGAATAGCAATACGTATGAAGTAGCCAGAGGGAAAATGAAGCTCCCAAAAGAAAATGAAAAGGAATGGCCAAAGAAAAGGAGGAAAATCAGTAGAGAAGGGCGTCATAGAACTAAGGGAAGGAAAGTAATAGTGTACTAATAAATAGTTAAATATTGATAATTTATGCTTTGAATTTAGCAACAAGGAGTTGATTGGTGGTTTTGGCATCAATTGTTTTGAAGTAGTTTTGGTGGAATGGTGGGGGTAGAAACCAGATCATAGAGTTATAGCGTGAATGAGGTAAGAAAGTAAAGACAGTGAGTCTGAATCACTCTTGCAAGAAATGTGTTTGTGAGAAGGAGGAGAGAAGTAAGTTAGCAAGCTATAGGGTGGTTGCTGAGGTGGAGGAAATTTTTTTCTTAAAAATGGGTGAAATTTTAATATATTTAAATCTGTTGGAGGAGCCATGCTTTAGTAGCTGTTCAATCAGTATATAGTTCATGAATAAAGAATGAAATAGGTAGGGGTAAAAGATGCAGAGGAGAAGAAATAATTGATAATGTAAAGTCCCTAAAAAGGTGGGACAGAATGGGAGGTGGATTCTGACTCAAAAAAATTTTTCTAATAGAGCTATACTATTGCAGAATGAGTTGGTAATGAGGAAACCTGTCTGGTAATCCAGGTGGATGAGCTCTCTGATGAAAGATAACTGCTTAAACTAAGAGTAGATGGTGACAGGAGGATAGTATGTGGATGGGAATGGGCGTTCCTGCATAGGATAAGGGTTTGGACTAAGTGGACCACTTAAGGTCTATTCAAGTTACTATGTTCTGTGATTTTTATCCCAATCTTAACCAGCATTTAAATTTCAACATGAATTACATTCACCTAATAAAGCTTATTGATTAGCTTTAAAGTTTTATTTTAAATACCTACTTTAAATGTTTTGTTTCTTAGATATAATATAGCTTAAAAGTGTACTTGTCTTTGATGTGTGAATTAGGTCCGCCAGGATCTTCATGTATCAACTGCTGAATTTACAGACTTGAAGCAACAGTTGGAAAGAGACTCAGTAGTCCTAAGTTTGCTTAAACAGCTACAAGAGGTCAGTACATTCAAATCAAACTTTAGTGTTTTGGTAGCAAGAAAGTTACTATTTTTTTTCAGTTGATCTCATTAAATGAGTATACCCTGACTATATAGTATTTTTTCATATTTTAAAAACAAACAAGCAGACAGACTTGAAATAATAGGATGTATAAAATAAAATACCTAATGGCTGTACTTATCATTTCAGTTTTCTATAGCTATTGAAGACTATAATTGTGCATTAGCAGAGAAGAAGTATGTCACTGCTGCTCAGCGTCTAGAAGAGGTATTGAACATTTTCTCCAAAGCATAAGCAATTAGTACTATTCTTGTTTTTGGTAAATTTTGTGCTCCATTTGTTCTTATCATTCATTATACAAATACCGGGGGTGCCAAAAAAATGTATACAAGTGGACACTTTGGTCAGCATTGCTCAGGCAGTGGTTCGCCGTAATCAGAAGTGTCTGGATGCTGATAGTAACCACTTTGAGCACCTCTTGTAACTGCAAATGTCAAACGTTACTTGTATTCATCTTTTGTTATCGGTATATATTGAGTATTACAATTTTAATCCAGTTTCCCTTTCTTAAAATGTGTATACATATTTTTGGCACCCTCTATATAATCTGATTCCCCTGAGTCCAGATGAAATGTTTAACAGTGATTATATTTCACTACCAGGCACAGAAATGCTTGAAGTTATTAAAATCCAGAAAATGCTTTGATTTAAAAATGTTGAAATCTCTCAGCATGGAGCTCACAATACAGAAACAGAACATACTGTATCACCTTGGAGAAGAGTGGCAGAAGCTGATTGTATGGAAGTTCCCACCATCAAAAGGTGCTGCTGACCTCAGGTGGACTGCTTTGCTTAATCTGCCTGAACCAGTTTGGCTTCTGAATATATTCTCAATACTTTATATTGGTAGATGAGAAAGTTTCACTTATTAATCTCTCAAGTCTTTATTAACTTCTCATATTAAGCAAAATGCTTGTTAGGACCAACTTATCTGGATCTCTAAAGTGTCCTTACTTTACTTCCCTTATATCTCTATTTCTATCCCTTTCACTAGGAAGGAGCAGAGAAGAGGGAACATGATTGGGTGGGTGGGGTCGTGATAAGGGTATGGCAGAGGAGGTGCCATACCCGCCTCTGCCACACAGAATTTCCACTGCCTTGTAGGATGTACCCGTTCCCAACAACAGCCCCTAATCGTAACAGTGTATCTTGACTAGAAAACTTAAAGAAGCTGTTCAGTCATTCTCCTTCTTGCTGAGGAAAGAAGGCAGGGGATCAGTGAGACAGGGGTTTGGCTCAATTTTTCTCAGTCCTTGGGGAAAAATGGTGACAAAGTCATCAGATGGGGATGCTTTGCAAAATGAAAATATAGTATAGCTTTGGCATTGGCATTTATTTATACTACTTGGCTTTCAGTCCCTCTGCCCACCTCTGGGTGTGAGCCCCCTTCGATGTCTTGTTTATACAAAGTGAAACCTCTGAGGGTATATGTAAAGGACATGCCATTAAACATGGTGTCTTTTCCCACATTAAATCTTGAAATTAGTTTATTTTAAGGAAAACCTCACAGTCTCTCTTTGTTCCCTTTCCCATATCCTCTTAGGCCTCCAAGTATATGTGTGTGTGTGT